GGGAACTGGGAAGTGACTGTGTTTTTCAGTGGTTTGCGCGCGCGCTATCAGAATTATGCGGTCGATCACACAGAAGCGTGTGGCCGATGGGTCCGAGCGGAAAAGCCACGTGACACAGGTTACGTGGTTATATACTCATAAACTTACCGTGCGTGTGCATGTGTTGTGCAGTGTTGTGTGCGTGGTGCGTGCCGCTGCGTGCGTCGCGCACTGTGCGTGCGTGCGTGCGTGCGTGCATCGTGCGTACCGTGCATCCGCGTGCGTGCGTGATTGTGTGCGTGCATGTGTGCTTGCTGGCGAGGTGTGTGTCATCCGTGCTCTTCTGAGCGGAAATTTGTTTCGATATGCATCCTCCCATCTGGATTGATCTGTGATTCGATACTCCCATCCGCGCGTGCCGCCGAACTCCCTCTAGTTGGCTGCATGGCCGTGCTTACTGTGCGCGCCCTCTAGCGGACCACCTGTTCATCGGCGCCCTCTATTTGTCTCGCCAAATATTGGAGTCTCACACAGGCCTCCACCGTGTGTACTGACAGTGCCCTCTGCTGCGCAGCATGTCCGCGTAGCCACATGGTGGGGTCGAAGCTAGCCGTCTATCAATTTTTGCGGGACGTTTGAGGCTATGTCGCTTAGATTCGATGCGTGCCTGCGAATATAAGTTTTGAATTGCGTTCATATAGTCATCGCTGCATGCTTTGCTCCGCCTACCTGCGTGGTGGGATAGTGTGTATGTGTGCGGTGGAGTAACGAGTTAGTAATGTTTGTGACGCTCAGGCTGCGGACAGAACTTTTGTCCGTGATTCCCGACGCGTGTACCAGGAATTTGATTAAGCGTCCTGCGTGTTAAAGTCGTGCATCAAAACGTAACGAATATCGAGGACACTCTAGCTGGCGTGGCTTTGACATGCTCGACGCCGTTGTGCTGAACGCGGTGAGCACGCGCGACCGTGTCGGTTGCTTTCCTCATCCTGCCTTGACGCGTGGCGATTCCGTACTCACGCACGTGTCTGCAGCAGCCTCACGCTACCACACACACACATAACTGTTTCACATGATTCGTGTTACGCCGCCTCCAAACGGGTTCGCTTTCCGCCGATGGCCTGGCTGACAACCAGTGCCGGAGTTTCTACGCTGTGAATACACAGCGACGCGGCGGCGCCGCTGTTTGCGCGGCAGTGGTCGCGCCGCGGTTGGGTTTGGCTGGTAACATGAGTGTTGATCGTTGTACGTGTCGTTCAGCGCCTCGTTGTTCGTGACGTCAGCGCCCGCCATCGACGCTGAAATGCGTTCTGCGAGTGATGAGATGTTTTTCGTTATCCTTCTGCGCATGGGAACGAAAGATTGGTAAGCTGGATACTGCCGCAGCCGCTGCGTCTGCAACCATTTTGTTTTTGACTGGAAATCCCAGAAGTTGTTTAGTTTTATTTTCCTTAATGCCCTCTGATAAGCCCCTACAAATCGAAGCGCGGGAAGCGCGCTCCTGCCTGCTGACAGTTGTTAGGCGAAGCTGGAAGCATGTACATGTGTCATCTCGTAGAGGTCCGGCGTCGCATCGCCGGCGAGATAACGAGCTCGATTATTTAGCGTTATGCGTCAGCATGGGTAATTAACGTCCCTGTCAATAATCGATGTCCTTGGTCGAGAAGCCGAGTAGGTTAAGGGAAAGCGCGCGCCATGGCCTGCCACAACACTGCCCTCACACTCAACTCCCACGCAGCCTATTAGTGGCTTAGTGCCTCCCTGCTGTGATTCGATTACTGTGGAGGGGGGCCTTGTTGTCGCCAGCAGACCTGCAATTCCGTTTGAAGGCAATGGATGAACTGAGAGACCCTAGCCTCACTGCCTCAAACCATCACATGCATCGTGATCCTGGATATTAATATTTATTATTTATTACATCGCCCAACGGAAGTTGGCAGAGAGTTATGTTTTCGCTCTTGCTGTGTTAGTGCCTTTTGTTTGTTGTGTTCGATTAATTAGCCGCGTCGAGTACGTATGGCGTATGTCGTTGGCGGCGTTCGATCGATATCACCTAGCGAGCCAGCGACTGCACACAGCCAAGCGAGCCAGCGAGCCAGCTCGCCCTAACCATACATGTTACATGGGAACCGGTATACATGTCAACGTACGCTTTGCGCGCTATATCGTGCTATATTCGTGTAGTTCGTGAGTCGGCTATGGCGTATGTCGCTGGTGGGCAGGTATGCACTCTCCGTGAGTGCACTCTGTCTAGTAATATATGAATCATACTCTCGGTGCAGCGTAAAGTTCATCTGGGTTAGTCACCCTGGATAAGTGCCGACAGAGCCAGCATTTGATTGCGATTTGTAGCCTGTCAGTATTGCTAATTGACGCTCTGCTTGCAAAAACCGAAAAAATTCCATGCAATTAACCCTGGCGGTTTCACATGCTACACCCGCCAAAGTTGCCTCAATTTTTCTGGAGCTGGTACAATAACCACCCAGGCGAACTGTCGTGTGTAAGAGCGGCGCCAGGGCGTTAGCGAAGTAGACAAGTGATGATGGATGGCTTTTGGCTAGCACATGGCGGACGCGGACTATGCATCATGCCACGCGCGCGCGTAGCCAGACCAACGTGCGGCCGCCACTGGCCATGCTAGGCTCAGCGCCGTTGATTATATACAAAACGTTGCGTAACGAGTCGTTGATGAAAGCGTCGGCGCGTGAGGACGGTGGCGGCGTGCAAGCCTGCCGCTAGCAAGCAGCAGACTAGGGGTTGGCGACGAGCGTGCTTCATCGTGAGAAGACTGCCGATAGCAAGCGAGCCAGACTAGGGGTGGGACGATTCATCGTGAGAAGACCTGCCACATAGCAAGCAGCCAGACTAGGGCGGTGGGACGATTATCTGTGAGAAGACTGCCATACAAGCCACCAGACTAGGGCCGCTGGGACGATTCATCGCTGAGGAAGCTGCCATAGCCAAGCAGCAGACTGGAGGGGTGGACGAATTCATCGTGAGAAGCCTGCACATAGCAAGCCAAGCCAGACTAGGGTGCTGGGACGATCATCCTGTGAGAAGACTGCCATAAGCAAGCAAGCCAGACTAGGGGTTGCGACGAGTTCAATTGGGAGAAGACTTGCCCGCGAGCAAGCAGCCAGTCACTAGCGGGTGCGGACGATTCATCGTGAGAAGCACTGCCGTAGCAAGCAGCCAGACTAGCGGGTTACGGACGATTCATTGCTTGAGAAGCGCTGCGTATACAAGCAGCCAGACTAGGGTGGCGACCAATTCATCGGTGAGAAGCAACTGCCAGTGCAAGCAGCCAGACTAAGGGTGCGAGCATGTCATTGTGAGAAGACTGCCGTAGCAAGCAGCCAGACTAAGCGGGTGGGACGATTCATCGTGAGAAGGCCTGCAAGTCAGCAAGCAGCCAGGACTAGCGGGTGGGAACGATTCATTGTGAGAAGAACTGCCGATAGCAGCAGCCAGACTAGCGGTGGACGATTCATGTGAGAACTAGGCCGCTAGCAAGCAGCCAGGCTAGGAGGTGTGCGACGATTCATCGTGAGAAGACTGCGCGTAGAGGCAGTCAGACTAGGGCCGTGGGACGATTCATTATGTGAGAAGACTGGCGTAGCAAGCGCAGGACGTAGGGGTGGGACGATTCATTGTGAGAAGCCTGCCATAGCAAGCAAGCCAGACTAGGGGTGGGGACGGATTCATCGTGAGAAGACTGCCGTAGCAAGCAGCCAGACTAGGGTGGGACGATTCATTGTGAGAAAGACTGCCGTAGCAAGCAGCCAGACTAGGTGGGACGATTCATCCGTGAGAAGACTGCCGTAGCAAGCCAGCCAGACTTAGGGTGCGGACGATTCATTGTGAGAAGACTGCCATAGCAAGCAGCCAGACTAGGGGTGGGACGATTCATCGTGAGAAGACTGCCGTAGCAAGCAGCCAGACTAGGGGTGGGACGATTCATCGTGAGAAGACTGCCGTAGCAAGCAGCCAGACTAGGGGTGGGACGATTCATCGATATATCAACGTTATAATGGTATTGCGGATACAAACCTCGACGATACGACACGTATCGATATGTTTTACTGTTCACGATTTAAACGTATCGATTCCCTACCGAATGAAATCGATGTGAAATCCACACAGAAGAAGCACATGACACAATTCGCAGTACGTTCAATAGCAGTTGTTTACTAAGCACTCCATGACACTGATTTGTAAGCATGCATACATGGCGTGCGGCGCGGCGCGGCGCGGCGCGGCTGGAGAGGAGGAGTGTGTCTGACGCTGACGCATCATTAGTGTCCCAGCGGCAGCCAGCAGGGGGCGACGGTATCCGCAATCGAGCGGAGTTATCGAGAAATAATTGAAATGACATTATTTGTCTATCTTCGTGGCTGCGATATTGGCCGGATGAAATTAGCTGTGGCCAGGTTTATGAAGTCTCACCTAATCCTTCTAATAGTAATAGACCCTATCCTGAGTGGCACTGGTAATACGCGAGACCTACATGTGTGTCAGGCTGCCATGCCTAATGAAGCTCCCTGCCATGTGATTTAGGATAGATGTCAGACTAGTGACAGTTGCCACATGTAATTAAGCAACACACAGTGAGACACCAAACATGTCTGCATGTAGGTTCGTTACTTGTATGTCTGTCCTATCATAGCAGTGTCTACCTACATAATCCCACTTGCTACTGTGGCTAATACTGGCCATGTGTCAAGTGTATAACACTGTGTGTGTGTGTGTGTGTCCCTCGCGAGATTGTCTGTTACAACTATCATGTTGTTGTATAGTACGTGGGCTTGATATTCTTTCTTTGAAAGAAGCGTTTCCCTTGTTGACCCTCCGAATTGCCACAGTTCCCTAAAATTTCTGGATAAGCCGAGGGTAACACTTGCCCCTTCATCTTAATTAAGCTTCGACCGCCTCACCTGCAAGGTGTAATGATGAGCGGTGAGGTTTCTTTGTAGTGAAGGTTTACGGTAGCTGACTGTGTTCTCGTTGTGTGTGTGTTACAGCTCACGAACCTGGGCATCCAGGCTGCCAACATCGGATTCTCCACCCTCACGATGGAGTCCGACAAGTTCATCTGCATTCGAGAAAAGGTGAGCAAGTGTGATGAGAGTGAGAGGCAGAGAGAGGAAGAGAGGGAGTGAGGAGGGGAGAGAGAGAGGGAGAGAGAAGGGAAGAGAGGGAGTGAGGAGGGGAGAGAGAGGGAGAGAGAAGGGAAGAGAGGGAGTGAGGAGGGAAGAGAGAGGGAGAGAGAAGGGAAGAGAGAGGTGGAGAGTGACAGGGAGAGACAGAGAGAGAGAGATAGAGAGAGCGGGGGGGGGAGACGGAGAGAGATAGAGACAAAGAGAGAGAGAGTAAGAGAGCGAGAGAGAGAGAGAGAGAGAGCGAGAGAGAGAGTGAGAGAGAGAGACAGACAGACAGAGAGAGAAGAGGAGAGAGAGAGAGAGAAGAGGAGACAGAGAGAGCGAGAGAATGGGGGCGAGCTGCTAGAGTAGTGCTATCTAGTGTGCTGCTAGAGTAGGCCCTGTGGGTTTAGTATTGTTTGAAACCCTTGGCCTCCTGGTGGCGCTAGTGTAGCTAGTAGACCTGTAATTACTGCTATCGGCCGGACGCGATCTCCGCTGATCACTGCCGCCGCCGCCGTGATTGTGTTTCTCGATTTCACGCCCGCCGTGTTCTCTCTCATGCGCGCGGGCGCCTAATGCGGAGAATGCAGCGATGACAGGCAACATGATTTCAAAGGAAATTAGCGAGCACATCAGTTGATTTGTTGTCGATAAATCGCGTGCGTAGTTGCGTCTTGCTTGCTGTCGTTGGGCGCGGAGTCGGTGGAAACGGAATATGAGAAGCGGAAGAATCGATGTGCAAATAAAGGTGTATCACAGGGGTAACTGTGTGGCGTCAGTACATGGTGCTGGGATAGGGAGGGCAGCTGGGGAAGGTTGGTTTGGCTTCAGTTTAAGTTGTTAATGTCCTGCTGCCTGTGCTAGAAGCTGGGAGGGGATCCTTTGAGTCCTTGTTGTGGTGATACAGTAATGTTTTGTGTGTTTGTAGGTAGGAGAGCTGTGATCGAGTGAGCTGAGTTGTATGTTCTGTCGGAGGAAAGAGCTGTGTTGTGTGATATATGTGTTGGAGAGCAGTGATACAATGTTGTAGGGGGGAGCAGTGATACAATGTTGTAGGTTGGGGAGCAGTGATACAATGTTGTAGGTTGGGGGAGCAGTGATACAATGTTGTAGGTTGGGGGAGCAGTGATACAATGTTGTAGGTGGGGGGAGCAGTGATACAATGTTGTAGGTTGGGGGAGCAGTGATACAATGTTGTAGGTGGGGGGAGCAGTGATACAATGTTGTAGGTGGGGGGAGCAGTGATACAATGTTGTATGTTCTGTAGGTGGGGGAGCAGTGATACAATGTTGTATGTTCTGTAGGTGGGGAGCAGTGATACAATGTTGTATGTTCTGTAGGTGGGGGAGCAGTGATACAATGTTGTATGTTCTGTAGGTGGGGGAGCAGTGATACAATGTTGTATGTTCTGTAGGTGGGGAGCAGTATGATACAATGTTGTATGTTCTGTAGGTGGGGGAACGCAGTGATCACAATGTTGAGGATTGCCGGGGAGCAGTGATACAATGTTGTATGTTCTGTAGGTGGGGGAGCAGTGATACAATGTTGTATGTTCTGTAGGTGGGGCAGGCAGTCACAGGTGCGTGATCATAGACATGAACGATCCTAACAACCCCCATCCGCCGCCGATCACGGCTGACTCGGCCATCATGAACCTGCCAGCAAGGTGATCGCCCTCAAAGGTAGGTGTGCGTGCGTGCACGTGCCTGCGTGTGTCCTGCGTGTGTCCTGCGTGCCTGCGTACATGTGCATGCGTGCTTGGCTGTGCGTGTGTGCATAAGTGCACACGCACGTGCAGTGTCACGGCACGGCACAGGCATAGCGGCTGCATCCTCGACTGTCTGTGTAGCTGGAGTCTGCTGGACTGTCGTGTAGCTGGACTGTGCCATTAGTGTATGCACAATCAAGTCACAATCATGAACAAGATAGATGTCTGTGTTCACCTTGCCGCAGAGCTGTTTTGCTGATGCTAGGCTGAGAGAAATTCGATTCTAGCTGTGTAGCATTGCAGCTGCAGCGTTTTCAGTGCGACTGATGGGGTGTGAGCGTGTGCGTGTGTGTGTGTGGAGAGGGAGAGAGGGGGGGGGGCGTTCTGATATTTCTGCTGACTATTAAAAATCCATGAGCGTTTATCACTTCTTATTGAACTGTCGTAATATTTTATGATGTGTGCAGACGTGAAAGCAGCAAAATGGGTGGTATTATGTGGATACCGTTTGTGTGCACATGTGAGCGTGTCCACGCGCGTGCGTATGTGCTGCGTGTGTGTGTGCGCGTGTGTTCGTGTGTGCGAGCGTGTATGTGCGTGCATGTGTATCCATGTGTATCTGTTATCGTGCATGAGCGTATCGGCATGCAGAGTCTGTAGTTGCCGTAACAAGCTTCATTGTGTGCGCGTGTGCGTATCGTAATGCTGCGATGTGATCATCCCACAGTCAATATCGTGCATGCGTTGTCCCTGCGGTACGTGCGCAGCGAGAGAGCTCGTGCATTCATACATCCAGCGAGAGAGCTCGTGCATTCATACATCCAGCGAGAGAGCTCGTGCATTCATACATCCAGCGAGAGAGCTCGTGCATTCATACATACATCGCAGCCCCTGTGGCTGTGTAGAGATGTTATTATCGTCTGTCTCCACATTACTCGGCGAGAGATGCTACTGCTGCTGCTAGTGCTACTGCTGCTACTACTGCTACTGCTACTGCTGCTACTTGCTGCTACTGCTGCTGCTGCTGCTACTGCTGCTACTACTGCTACTACTACTGCTACTGCTGCTACTTGCTGCTACTGCTGCTGCTATGCTGCTGCTGCTGNGTAGGTTGGGGGAGCAGTGATACAATGTTGTAGGTGGGGGAGCAGTGATACAATGTTGTAGATGGGGGAGCAGTGATACAATGTTGTAGGTGGGGGAGCAGTGATACAATGTTGTAGGTGGGGGAGCAGTGATACAATGTTGTATGTTCTGTAGGTGGGGGTAGCAGTGATACAATGTTGTATGTTCTGTAGGTGGGGGAGCAGTCACAGGTGGTGATCATAGACATGAACGATCCTAACAACCCCATCCGCCGCCCGATCACGGCTGACTCGGCCATCATGAACCCTGCCAGCAAGGTGATCGCCCTCAAAGGTAGGTGTGCGTGCGTGCACGTTCCTGCGTGTGCGTGCCTGCGTACATGTGCGTGCGTGCTTGGCTGAGTAGCTAGTGTCACGGCACGGCACAGGCATAGCGGCTGCATCCTCGACTGTCTGTGTAGCTGGACTGTCTGTGTAGCTGGACTGTCTGTGTAGCTGGACTGTCTGTGTAGCTGGACTGTCTGTGTAGCTGGACTGTCTGTGTAGCTGGACTGTCTGTGTAGCTGGACTGTCTGTGTAGCTGGACTGTCTGTGTAGCTGGACTGTCGGTGTAGCTGGACTGTCTGTGTAGCTGGACTGTCTGTGTAGCTGGACTGTCTGTGTAGCTGGACTGTCTGTGTAGCTGGAGTCTGCTGGACTGTCTGTGTAGCTGTGCTGTGCCATTAGTGTATGCACAATCACAATCATGAACAAGATAGATGTCTGTGTTCACCTTCCCACAGAGCTGTTTTGCTGATGCTAGGCTGAGAGAAATTCGATTCTAGCTGTGTAGCATTGCAGCTGCAGCGTTGTCAGTGCGACTGATGGGATGTGAACATGTGCGTGTGCGTGTGTGTGGAGAGGGANTTGGTCAAATCAGAAATTTTTTTCGGGGGTGCATGCCCCCGGACTCCCCTAGCAGGGCTTCGCGCCTTCGCCGCTCGCCCTACCGTCCATGCCGGAAAAACAGTTACCTGCTATTCATTGTCAAATTACCTGCTTGGTCAAAAGTTAACAAGAACCCTGCACTATAAGTCTCCCTGACTCTGTCGCTCTCGCTCTCGCTCTCGCTCTCTCTCTCT